ATATATCTTGTATTTTTGATTTAGCAGCAGCAACTTTTCTTATAGATAAACCTGGTTTGTCCAAAACCAAGCAAAAAAACCCCACCAGAAATATCTCCCTAGAAATGGATGATCTTTTGTAAAATCATTTATAGGCCAGACACTTTCTGAATAAAAATAAAAACATAACTTGACATAACCTGGCTTATTGCCCAATTTGCAGCAGAAAACTTTTGTATGGATGTGTGCCCTGCTTTTTTGTCTTACAAAATCTGTTAATATGTTCCTATCTGTTTCACATTTGAGTCATGTTCTCTACTCAACTCTCTGACAACCTGAATTGCAGACTAATGCATTCTAATGAGACAAGACAGTACCTTTATGAATGACCTCATAGAGAAGAGGTTGGCTAACATTGTTGAAAGGCCCGGTGCCAGGCAGCTCTGGGCTATGAAACCCAGCTTGAGCTCAGCAAGACAGATTGCATCATCCCCTTCTTTCCAGTTCCAGCTTGGGATATTTAGCAGATGGGCCTGGAAAACAAACAAACAAAACATCCCACCAGTGAAAAATCAGAAATATTTCCTCAAATACAGTATGATATTGAAGAACCTAGCAGTGAAAGATTTTCTCTGTTAATGGCTTGACTTTTTCTGAGTAGGCAGAAGCACTCCAGGTATTTCACAGTTTAATTCTATGCTAAGAATTGTTACACTCTTACCTATTATAGATAATATCTTACAGGTCTCAAAACACATGCTGACTGTGAAACTGTCAGGCCTGTTCTCATAACTGAACAAACCACAGAATATTGTAAAGTTCCTTCCCTTTTATATACTCCTTTTACAGGACTTTGAGCTACTGTCTGACTGATAAGGAACATTCATAATATACAGGAAGCTAATATAACTCGGTTTACAACTTCTGTGAAGCTGCAACCTTTTTTGGACACTGTAACTTAAAAAGGTATACATCTTCTGTATTTTTTATCTCATTCCTCATTTTATCTCTTCCACCCTGGAGGATAGTTCTTGACAGTGAAAATTCAAACTTTTTTATAAGAGTGCTATTTCTGTGGATAGAACAGAGAAAATAGCTGATCAAGACACACTTCCAGTATTGACAGTGGCCAGTTAGATAGATACAAATATTGTTCAGTTATTGATCTCATCCCTGTATACACCTTCCTCATAAAAGGAAGCAGAGGGGCAGGCATTGACCTCTTCTCCCTGGCAACCTGAGACAGGACCCAAGGGAATGGTCTGAAGTTGCATCAGGGGAGGTTTAGACTGGATATTAGAAAATGGTTCTTCATCCAGAGGATGGCTGAGCCCTGGAACAGCTCCCAGGGAAGTTGTCACAGCACCAAGCCCGACAGAATTCAAGAGGTGTTTGGACACCACTCTCAGGCACAGGGTGTGATTATCAGGGATGTCCTGTGCCCAGCCAGGAGTTGGACTGGATGATCCTGACGGGTCTCTTCCAACTCTGATCATTTTGTGATTCTGTGAAACATTTTGCTTTTGTTCTATAGAAAGACTGACTTCTTCCATAACATACAGGAAGAGGAGATAACAAGCAACAGTAATTTCTCTTGTTCTAGCTAAAGGTTACACATATGAGGAGTTGCTAGCAAACCTTCTTAGTACCAGAATGAAGGTCTACCCAGTAAAGCCTCTTCTCAAACACTGGGCAGTGGTTGATGCTTTTAGGAATATAAAAAAAATCACAACAATCTCCAATAAGACAATAAACCTACTTTTTTTGTTCGTTTGTTTTTAATTATCAGCAAAGAACCGATTTCAGATTACTTGCCTAGAGGCCACCATTCATCCCAGGTAGTTCTAGCGTAATAAGCTGAGCAAAACTCATAGAAGCTAAGTGTCTAAAAGCTCACCTGGAACCAGTAGCAACTACAGACACTGTAACTTTGAGGCAGATCCTAGGCAATTAATGAATGTCAGGATTTTGATAAGGTCCTTTTCATATATAAATAAAACCAAATTACTTTGTAACTGGATTACATGATGATGCTTATTAGGATATTTTAGTTTAGTAAAGAGAAAACTGCTCACTATTAGTGGAACTAGAAAAATTATGTATGAGTGAATGCAATGTAGCAAAAAACTCTGAGGAGCAACATTGTTGGTCATCACTTTACCTTATTGTGATACTGCAACATCTGAGTGATAATTCTTATCTTCGGATGATAATTCTTTATGGAAATAACTCTAAAAAGAAGAGGAAAAGCTATTAAAATAACTTTTAACTAAGAATGTTTGGATAATATATCCCAATAATTCTATTTCACTGTGTTGTCAAGTCCCACAACTAAAACTGTACCCTCTATTCATCTGCCTGTAAAGCCTACTGAGCTATGCAATATTTACACCTAGTCAAAGTGAGTTAATAACTACTGGCTAATACTGGAGAAAAACAACCTTCAGGAATTATTCAGTTGAATGGTTTACTCTTATGAATTTTGCAGAAAAAGAGACTTGTTTTAGCAGCTCTGTTCAGACACTCTACTCAGTTCCATTAGGAAAATAATACACTTGGAATTGTCATTGTCAGTGATTATCTTCATGTCCCTGAATCAACATAATCAACCAAGTTTTCCAATGACATATATTTGAAAAAAATCCCTTTCTTTCTGCCCCATCACATATTATTTATTTATAGCTGTTAGGCATTCATTCTAAACAGCTAAATTAATGATTTTGTGTTACACATGCAAATTCATCTGAATTTTTATGGATTATTGTAAACCTCAATATCAAAACTGATATCTGAATGCTGAATTTATAAAATATGGGGGTACTTCCATGACCTGCAGCCTTTCTGCATTATTAATTACTTCATGAGCCAAAGTATACTCAGCTGTGTACAGGTTAAAATTGGTTGGAAAGAAAAATGTTAGAGAAAAGAGTGGATTCATAATGTGCTATAAAAAAGCATTAAGCAAAATTAAACAGATGAATGGGCCGAAAAATCAGTTTTGTATTTACAAAATAAATGTAGAAAAAGAAGAAAAAAATGAAAAAAATAACAAATCCGAATTAATATGAAATCATCAGTCTTATAAGACTAAATGTCATAAGAGTTTACATTGGTGTTTTGTAGAACATGTCTTGCAAACTGATGGTCTGGCTTGTGCCAGATATATGAAGCATGTCAAAGCTAGAATAGGAGACATTCAAAAATGGCAGTTTTTAAAGTTTTTAACAAGTCTTCCTTGTAATTTTCCATTTCTATCTGCATTCTTTAATCAAACATTCAATTTTGTTGAATTATATTGTGAGAATACACAAGAGAATTCCACTCTTGAATTAACTTTTGCATTTAAATGTATTGAATCCATTAAGAATACGCTAACCAGCAACTGGAATATTTCTAATGCACTTATGCAAGCAGTGTCAAAATAAAGTTTCTTGCACTGCAACTCAAATAATTCTTGTAAAATGAAATTAGGCAAATTTAAGCCCTGCGTCTTCCTCAGACATCCACATTTCTTGCGCATAGTGAATGTTTTCCAGAGGAGCAATTTTATCCACACTTTTTATTTCTCACCTTCCTTCAATACACAGCATGCAAACATCTGACAAGCCAGGAAAATTTGTTCGTAACACTGGCCAACCCAATGTTAGAGAATTTTTAATGAATCATTGAGAATTTAATTTTAAAAAGGAGACTGGTCTCATTAAAACTAGGGTTGTATGAACAAAACACAAAAAATGGAATGGCTTAGGTTTGTTGTAACTCTAGCTGCCATCTAGTGACAAACTGTTTCATCTCCTTCCTTCAGAGACTATAAGGAGGAAAGCAGGATGAGATCTGGTGGTCCCTAATCTGGTAAATGCCTTGTCTATCAAAATAAGCAATGACTGGTCTTCAGCATGAAAAAAAAAAGCAGGATGGAGACAGGAGACCACTCTATTGTAAAATTTGCTATCCCCTGAGCAGCATATTACTTGTAGGAGTAGATATACCAAGGAGCAACAAGGTATGAAGTGATGAAGAGTCCTTCTGTCTCATCATTAACAACAGACCATGTAGTGCATGCACTCACAGAACATATTGTTGCAACAACCTAATTTCATTCCCTTTCCCTTCTGTGCTCAGCTACAAATAGTCAAACCCTAGGTCCTGCAGAACGACTAAGAGTACCAAAGCTTGTGATCCAAGTGCCTCTTCTGACAAACTCTAAAGCAGCTAACATAAAGTTTAGGTAGAAATTTAGGGTATTCTCACCTCTGAACTTTTGTGACCATCTTGTAATTTGTCCTCTAAAAAAACCATTCTATAATTTCCTTTAAGTGCAAAATCAGCTAATCAGAGTTAAGAATCAAAAAAGCTATTAAAAACTACTGAGTTTACCTCATAATATTGGAGGCATCTTCAGCATCTGGGTCAGCGCAGTACTTATTGGCAAGGATTAGGCACGCATCTGCTGACTCTATCTGAGACACCAAAGAAAAAGCAAATGTACATAACAATGTCTCTTTACAGCTCTTTTTTGATCATAAAGTATAGGGGACTCCAACACTGATATCATGAGTGTGAGTGTCAGTTCTTAACACTGCCAATCAAAAACTTTACTAGGCTACGTCTCTTTACAGCTCTTCTTTCATCATAAAGTATCGGGGACTCCAACACTGACATCATGAATGTGAGTGTCAGTTCTTAATACTGCCAATCAAAAACTTTACTAGGCTAATGTGAGTTAATTGAGTGATTATAACAGCTCTCGTATACACACAGCAATTCCTTGAAACTTGCTTGTGATGCTCAGAGCAGGTCAGGAGTTCAATTGTTGACTCTGAATCAGCTGAGCCGTGAAGATGTTAATGTTAATCTTTTGTAACCAGATACTGGAATTTAGACCCCTAAAACCACAGAAAGTTCCTGTTACATCACTACAGTGTTCCCACAAGTCCTGCAGCTTTGTTTGGGAATTTAAGTACCTTCCTAATTGAGATACCAAGAGAAGGCTGAACTGATGATTTACAATCTGAGCACCAGATTTAGGATGAAAGAGGATAACTGATCTGTTCACAGGACCTCTAGATTCACACAAACCTTAGCTTTATAGAACTCAAAGCAGATGACAGAAGTATTTGTTCAGTATATACAACAAAATATCAACACAAAGAAGAGAGGAATACAGAACACAAAATACAAACACACAATTTTATAGTCAGAACATGTTCTGGTGAACTGAAGCAGATGCAATTTTATAGTCAGAATTAGAACATGTTCTGGTGAACTGAAGCAGAATGCATTAGACTACAAAAAGTCAAGCAATTTCTGCAGCCAAAATGGACAAAACACATGACTAGTACTCCAGAAAGTGTTAATAACACTGTACTAAAATATTCTTGGCTTCAGTAGACAGTTTACATTCCATTGGTAGGGAGAAATAAGAAACACAGAGAAGCTAATGACGAGTCTGACAACTTGCCTTTTCCTTTTTTTTTATGCTTAATGATTTGCTCAGAGAGTCTGAAGCAATTTACCATTTAAAATTCTAGACAATAAAACAATCTAATTTTAGCTACCAAAAATCATACATTTTACTTTTCTTTCAAGATTCTAGACAAAAGAAAAAGGGTTCAATTCAGCAGGTAAAATTTCATTGTTCTGACAAAGTTAAGACAATAGTGTTTTAAGCAATTACCATAAGAAAATGTTCTGCTATATTAAACAGCAATACAAAATATTCTCTTAAATTAAAGTTCAATGAAAAATTCACAAAGAGTTCAATGGAGTGGCAGACAATGTGTCTTAGGTCACTGTTACTGCAGCTTTGAAGATCTAAAGATCTAGGGAAAACAAGGTTTCTGACAAAGTTAAGACAATAGTGTTTTAAGCAATTACCATAAGAAAATGTTCTGCTATATTAAACAGCAATACAAAATATTCTCTTAAATTAAAGTTCAATGAAAAATTCACAAAGAGTTCAATGGAGTGGCAGACAATGTGTCTTAGGTCACTGTTACTGCAGCTTTGAAGATCTAAAGATCTAGGGAAAACAAGGTTTACAAGGAAAGATATTATGATTTATGAGTCAAGCTGATAGAGATTGGGAAAAAAACCTTTTGGGGTTACATGAAAAAGGGCTTTACTGTTTCTTCCCAAATAATGCAATGAGTAATTACAAAAAAAAGTCAATTAACAGGAGAACAGACCAACAGAGCTGTTACCTTCACTCTCGCCAGGTCATGGGGATTAAGGACTGAACCCTGATAAAATTCCACCTGAGTGAAGTGTCGCTTAAAAAGAGCTTCCAGCTCAAGGTTAGGGGAGATACTGCATTGGAAAGAGGAAGAAAAGACAAAAGCAAATGAGAAATCAGTTTCTATAAGTGTCCCATTTCCTTCATTTACAAACCCACCCATCTATTTATTTTAGGTATTCAAACTTCTGCTGATGCATTTTCTGTGGAGTGGAAATGGTGTGGAATACTTAAAAGATAAATACTAAATTGCTTTCACTTTGTTACTTCTGTCTCCAGTGCTTCTGGCCCACTTCATTGCACTAGTATGCATGTTCATCATTTGCCAATTTCTGACAGATGTAAACACAGAAGAATGGGCACAAACATTTGAAAACCTCCTCTCGCAGCATTCTCTCCAGAAATTATCTAGTAAGGCAAGCATCCTCTGCATGTCCCCACCATTCTCAAAACAGCTGACTGCAATGAACAAAAGAGTTCAAAGTAAAAAAAATGAAAAAATATAAACCACATAGGGAACCTGTGGCCCATATGAGCTACAATTAGAACAAACATAATGATGCTGTGACTTTCTGTCTCATTTCATTTTGCCATAAACAAAAGCAAAAGAAAAATTAAATGGATCATGGTTAATTACATAACATGGCATCAGCCCTGTAAATATCTTTTCTGATGCCACTCATTAAAACAGAACAGATTTAATAACACTACACAATAAGTGCATGAGATCTTTGTCATTCCAGATGCTAAATTCAAAAAGAAAAACCCCAGATACATGCAAGTATTTGTATGTGAAGGCACAGAAGAAAGCAGGCACAAACAAGTGGCAAGGTGCTAAACTCCTTCCAGGTGAATCTGAAGTCTCCTGATTCCTATTACTACACATTTTCACTGTTGAACTCTCCTTTCAGGCAAGTTTTGCTGTTACATAGAGAGGGAATGCAAACAAAGTATTTACTTGAGGATATCACCTCTAGCTCAATTTGAAAGGACTGGATGAAAAAATTTTGTAAGTGCTGCTGATTCTTAGTTTTCAGTTTCCGTTGTTAAAGCATCACAAATGATTCCTTAACTTTTTAAATTTCTTCTTTGAAAAAACATGCAGAATGTGTTGCTGAATGCAAAAATATTACTCATTCATAGATTGCAACACTTCTAAACAGATGCCATTCCAGAGCAGAAAAGACCTTGCATACTGTCATCACATGGCTGTTCCTAGCCTAGGCATGCCTATTTGAAGTTGTACTGCACATAACGTAGAGCCTGCAAGAAACACCAACCACCTCAAGACACCTTTTCAAAATCCACATCAGAAAAATGCAGGAGACTATGTATGCATATATATGCATATATGGGTAAAAGAGCTGTAGTGATTATCACCATGACAAGAATTTAATTTTTATCTTCAATATATCTGTAATGTATCTCATTTGTAGTAGTGATTATCACCACGACAAGAATTTAATTTCTACAATATATCTGTAATGTATCTCATTTGTATTAAAACCAAACCTGCACCTACATTTTTCTTTTTATAAATATTTTGAAATATGAAATTAAGCATTTTTCCTAGTAAAATCCAAGGTGAAAATGTGTTTTCAGATAGCATAAGTTCATACGGCAGACAGTATTTTTAATGAATTTTAATGATTCCACCAATTTTGATAGTTTCTCTAGAAATATTTACCACTAAAACAAAATCTCTCAGATGTTTATTGGAATTTCAGTATTTTTATTCCATAATTCCATTTCTACTTCAACTATGCATTTAGCTATCTATCTCACAGCTGACAAAACTGGGTCTGAAGTCCATGTGCTTGAAACAAGCATATTTAGCAATGGGTTATAAAAATATATATATATAACAACTTTTTTCAAAACATATTGGTAATAAAAGTAATTGAAAATATTCATTTTATGGGGTTTTTTTGAAGCATGAAAGATTCTCTGTCTTCCTAAAAGATATGGCTTAATTTTATGAGTTTTAGTAATAGATGATAAGACTAATCTTGAAAGATTACTTACTTATGCAGAAAGACGATTTCTACATTGACATCATCCCTATCCTTGTGCAGGAAGTCCTTCAGGAAGTTGGACACACTTTCAAGTGTTATGTGACCACAGACAACTATGTGCCTGTTACAGAAAAATCAGAATTAATCTTGCAAAGAAGGTAAAATAAGCAAGCAAGAAAGCAGAGATGGAAATGATAATCTATTGGCAAAAAAAAAAAAAAGAGTATTAGTCTCTTCTTGATGTTTCTCTAGATCATATTCCATGAAGTCAGACAAAGAAAATATCAGTTCCAAAAGGTATTTTGCAATTGTGAATATATATATATATATATATATACCCTCTCACCTGCAAAGACATTTGGCCATGTTGCATTACACATTTAACAATAAGTGCCATCAGTTATATATGTGTTTATACACTGTATTAACCAGTCCCATTCAAAGTCATATTTCTTTATCTTACACATCTTTTTCCACATCTTTACCTCCTCTACTGAGATTTACTGTTTAAATTTTTGGTTTATGACAGCAAATATCCCTAAAATGATTAGATATTTTTCCATGGTTGAAGCACACATTTATGCCAATACAGGCAGTGCAAAGCTTGCCAATTGTAGGCCAGAAGCAATAAAAAAGAAATATTTTTCCTACTATAACTCTTTGAAGGACAGTCTTTTACAATAGGAAATCATTACTTATTCTGCCATTGCAACAGTTTGCTTAGAAAATAAAAGTTTGCACAGCACATGACGTCACAAAGGTTTCTACTGCTCCACATTTTCATTACTAGATGTAGCTGACCATGTAAGATGGAAGCACAACATATACCTACAAACACATTCTTAAATTCTAGATCTTAAATTCTGAAAAGCTGAAGAAAAGACCTAGGAAACTGCACTCTTCCTAACTTAAAGGATCATTGCTCCTTTATTATTGCAAAGCAAAGTACAAAAAAAAATTGTGATCAGAATATCCTACAAAGTCTCACAATTTCCTTTATGGAATAAACTGGAATCCAGCTTCTTTACTGTCATGGGTTTAAGACAGATGGTGACTTTAGATATATCTGTTGCTAACACTTCCAATAACCACAGTGCCCACAGAAGTCAGGGAGAGGAGCAAGGTGGTATAGATACAATCCCTGAAATTACAGTCACCTTCATTACTGTCATATAGTCTGCACAGACACATAATTTTGCACTTATTTGGCACTTGGACTGCAGAATGTGAAGCAAAATAATTCCAAGAATAAGAAGTAGACCACCCAAGTCTCAGCTACTTTGTAATTCTTCTGCAGAAAACTCAGTAACACAGAAACCTCATTGTCAGGAAGCAACAAATAATAGGTGGCAGCAAGGATTACTTATGTAATGGAGTATAATAGTAGTCTGTCCTTGCTACATAATTCAATTCTTGATTAAATGCGTGTGAAAACTGCACAGAACTCATTGGAAAAGGGATAACTATGCAGAACAAAGAATCAATCAATAATAATAATATGCACAATGCAGTGAATAATATCACTGTCATGTACTGTTACTTTTGCAGTAGTTCAAGCAGTGACTAGAAAAGCAAAACACAATAAACTATTATACCAGTCCAGCACACTTTCTGATATTGTTATTATCACTTTTCTAAATGAGTTTTAAACTTTTTTTTAGAAATATGATAACACTCCTTTTGCATGAGTTCTTAATGACATCACCAGGACTCAAATGCAATTTTAGAAACAGCAGGAGTCAAAAACATCAATGATTTCACTTCTTTTAACAGGCAAGAAATAAATGCTTACAGAAGACTCTGACCATGTTAGTTTATATTTAACACAGGACTCAATACCGTGAATGTTTATCCATAATGTCTGCTTATTTCTTTTTTTTCTTTACAGAAGTTTTAGGTGCAGTAAGTGTACAGAGCAGGGAGTTACTGGACTGTAAACATTTAAAAACACAAAAAACCCTGAGTTGGTAACCCTGAGGTGGTAAGCACAATATCACAAAAATAAGATGTATAATATATCTAATATATCAGCTCTTTTTTTTTTTCTTTTGGTGCAAGGAGTCCTTAAGAGGTTTCCTCTGGGAGCTTTGCAACTTGGCAGAGTTTGCAGCAGGCTATAGAACCATGCCTGTATTACCCCTACACTCTTCCTCTGTTTCCCTGGTGGTCAGTTTGCCTGAGTTGCCAGTGCTGTGTATACATGTGCTATTGCACTCAGAGTATATTTAATATATCAATGTAAACAGAAAACCTCAGGAAAGTTCAGATTCTGAAGAGATGTTTAAAACCTAGGTAGTTTACTAGATCTAAATTTTGAACAGACTGTGTTTGATACACTACATAATACTAACATTGGGAAGTTCTTGGCTGTCTAGTGGTATTTAACACTTTTCCTGAGTGTAAATCCATCTAGCATCAAAACCTGCAAAGGCCACAATAAAAGATAAATTGCACTTCAAAATATTTGTTTCTATTCCTTATACTGTTTGTACACAGTTCCCAAGATGACTGATTTTCAACAATGGGTATTATTTTCTTCAAAGGTTTTCATCTCTTACTAATCAAGAAATTGAACTTTCCATTTGGGTAGTTGATGCACTGCTTTTCGTAGTAGAATTTCTCATTGTAGGGAACTCCTTTGTACAGATCCTGCTTTAGCAGGGTCTCTTCCTGAATGATCCTGTGACACACTGCATTCCTGTGCAGAAAATTTACTCCCTTCCAGGATGATTTCACTTAATATTGGTTCCTTTGCGCCATTAATTAGAGTCTGCTTTTGTTTAAATTGGCTACGCAACCCAAAATGTTGTACTGCAGAAAAAATTACCACAATATGAAAAGATTATAATATAACCCATTTTAGAAAATACCTCTAGAGGTTATTTACAACTAAAAGACAACTGCTAAAAGCAGATGCACTTGGTACAATTATGGCATGACTCTCATTGAGTAGAGTTTCATTGCAGTCTGCTCCAGTGAAAATAAAACATTTTGCTGCCAAATAGCCTTGAATTTAGGCAATTCTTTTAGGAGGGTTAGAAGGTATCTGCACCACAGTTTCATTTTATACTCTGATTTGGAACTGCACATGATCTATTCATAGCTTCTGTTGTTACATAGCACAAGACTGTCCTGAACAGTGACTTCAACATAACTTCTTGGCTTTCAAATGATATTTTCTCATGAGATACTTGCATTAATCTTTGGTTGAAAACACCCACAAAACAAACAGACACCCCAAAACCCAACCAAAACAAACCCAAAAAACCTAACAATACAAAACAAAAAAGACACCCCAAACCCTTCTTTTAATATAAATTATATTTTTTGCTTAGAAGCAGAAGAAATTGAAAACAGATTTCCTACTTGCCCATAGAGAGCTATTAGGTACATTATTTAAGAAGACCTGGAGAGTTTACATTGTTCCAATCTGTCCTGTATATGATTTAAACATTCATAACTTCCTCTGTTTGTTTCAATAACCATTCCCTTCTCTTTTTTTTAACCACCCATTTTTTCCATGCACTGAAAATTTTAGTAAAGTCAACATACTGGATATCTTTGGCTTTTTGCAAAAAGAGTAGGTTACTAGGAAAATATTTTATTAAAAATGTTGGGTCAGCAATAATGCCTAACCTCCTCATGAAGCTTTTGTTTATTAAAAACCTCAAGAGTAATACAGTATTATTATGATTAATTTTTTCACTCTTTAAAAACAAACTTTAGAATTTCTTTTGCAATACTGAAAAACATGATTCAGGAATTTAGATATTTTTATTATCTATAGGTATTTAGGACTCAGGTTTCTGTTAAAAAATAGTTGCCATTGATATCATGTATCAGAGGTGAAACTGGTTTAATATACCAATGGGAATCCATATTACATGATCGTGATGCTGTAAAAGAAATCTATTACAAGGAAGCAAAAGCTTATCAGAAACCATATTTTATCAACAAATAAAGATGGACTAATCCATACTCTCTCATACGTATCCTCAAAATTCATTTGAGAAATATGAAAAATATGAAAATATTTAAAATATGAAAAATTAGCACAGTTGTACACAGCTGATTCCAACTGTGATTCTACACAGTTGAAATTCTACACAGTACCTAATTTTTTTTCCACTGAAGCACTGGCATAATGATACATTTCCTAAAAATATCCTAGATTCTTATAAAGTCAACAAAAATGCTGATAAAAGATCCAAAAACTACCACACATACATACAGTTTCAGTAAGGAAAAGAAAAAGAAATAATCAAAAGCTAAAACATCTAGATTTCTGACATGACATAATTGAGAACAGATACTTAATCCACGTAAATAGCATTGTAAATGAAAACAGATCCACTGTGAATGGGATTCTTTAAAAAGGATCTTTGCATGGTTCTTCCTTCAGAGGACAGAATATAAAAGGTAAATCTTTTGCCTGCTTATTTTGAAAGAAATTATATCCATTTTATTGGAACAAGTATAAAGAACTTGAAAAAACTCACTCCAACTAGTCTGTCATAATAAATCAAAGATAATAAATACAAAATTCTGCTCAGTATTCCGTTGAATATTTAGTGTTCACTTGTCAAATAACTACAAGTGTGGTGCATATTGATCTAGATGTCTCCATAAAACTATAATATTTATATCAAATACACATGCTCAGATCTCTTCATGGTCTTTCTGCTTATCATTCTGATCATGCCATCATCTATTGACCATCTAAATTCTTTCTGCATACAACAGTAGCAGGCTGCTGTGGTTCAAATAAACAGGTTCTTGCAAAGTCTAACAGATTTTGCTCAAAAAAAGGATGGGTCTCAGTCATTTTTTCTTATTAAAAAAGAAGCCTATAAATGTCAACAGAGACTGTATATATGGTCTTCTCGTTAATCCATTAATGATATGCATTGTTAAACACATCAGTTTACAATACATTTCTAGCTGTTTGTGCTTTTCATGCTTTATCTAACATTATTCAAGATTCTACTAATTCAGTTCAAAACTTCATGCATATGCTTATGTCTTTCTCTTATTTCAATATAAACTCCCCTCTCAGAGTAATACTGATAGAGTAGTAAGTGTTGTACAACCACAATTTGAAGTTTTTCCTCTTTTTTTTCA